CAGTTTTTATTTTCTTCACTTGCCTTATGCCTGCCTAAGTAAAGCTTAAAAAAACCTCGGTAACGCCGCGTTGATTTCGGTTATCTTTACAAATTGGGCAAAGTTTTGCAGGATATACAGACAAATACAATTCCTTAACAGATTCTTTTTTCCATTTTTAAAATTTTGAACAGCATTTACACGACTCATCTTTTCTGGTGGTACACCTCTCGATATCTTTCCATTGCAGTACTGTGATGTTCATAACGATGCTTCTTCTCGGGATATCTACAATTAAACAAATCCACTTACTGCACTATACAGTACATTAGAGATCATTCTCAAAACCACGGCCACAACACAAGAAAATAGGACTAAAATTTTACGCACAGCAAAATTTGATTCTAGTTGATTTATTAAAAAAATAAATACTCAACAGTGACGTTGAGTGCTGAAGTAACTTTATGGTTTCTGACGTGTAGCACCTCTATATTTCTGTTAACAAGATATTCTAATGTTTTTATTATATTTGTCATTTTTACAAGTGTTTCATTTCAATTTACGTGATCTTAGATTAATCGGGATTATTCTAAAACATAAAAATTTTACTTTTTATCTCTGTTGATTGAATCTATATGGAGTTAAGATTTACTCAATATATTTCTACAGGTTACAGTTTCACTTAATATCATAACATTAGAAACAAGAGGTTTTGGCAGCCATATTTTCTTACTTATGAATATTTCTGTTTATTCTAATCGTCACTAGTATAATATAAAGTTATCGCAGAAATATGTTTGTAATGCGCAGCAGAGTTGTAGACTACCATACTGCTGATATTTCTCTCATAACTTATTTATTGTTCTATAGTTTTGGTTCACTTGTCCACAAAATAGTAAACATATTTGATAAGTGACACATTCCGATGGTTCCTACTTCACAGGTTCAGGGCAGAAGTGCAGGATGCCGGCAGGGTTTGGATACACATCCAACGTCCTGATGTGTGGAAATGGCTCGCCCCCGGGAATCAGGTTGGTGCTGGGAGAGATGGGAAAATGGAGTGAGGGGCAGGGGGGGAAGGGGGGAGGCTCTGTTGTAAAAAGGGGGAGGAGTGGTGTGTTGTGTTGTAAGGGGAGAAGAGTGGTGTGTTGTATTGTGAGGGTGAGGAGTGGTGTGTTGTGTTGTGAGGGGGAGAAGGAGTGTTGTGTTGTGAGGGGGAGGCGAAGTGGTGTGTTGTGTGGTGAGGGGGAGGAGCAGTGGTGTGTTGTGTTGTGAGGGGAGGAAGAGTGGTGTGTGTGTGTTGTGAGGGGGAGAAGGGAGGGTGTTGTGGTTGTGGAGGGTGGAGGGAAGAGTTGTGTGTTGTGTTGTGAGAGGAGAAGGAGTGGTGTGTTGGTGGTGAGGGGAGGAGGGTGGTGTGTTGTGTAGGTGAGGGGAGGAGGGGGTGTTGTGTTGTGAGGAGGAGGGGAGGAGAGGTGTTGTGGTGTGAGGAGGAGGAGGAAGGGAGGTTGTGTTGTGAGGAGGAGGAGGAGGAGGAGTGTGAGTTGTGGAGGAGGAGGAGGAGGAGAGTGGTGTGTTGTGTTGTGGGAGGAGGAGGAGTGGTGTGTTGTGTTGGAGGGGAGGAGGAGGGTGGGTTGTGTTGTGAGGGGAGGAGAGTGGTGGTTTTGGGTGAGAGGAGGAGAGTGGTGTGTTGTGTTGTGAGGGGAGGAGGAGAGGTGTGTGTTGTGTTGTGAGGGGAGGAGGTGTGGTGTGTTGTGTTGTGGGAGGAGGAGGAGAGTGGAGGTTGTGTTGGGAGGAGGAAGAGAGGGTGTGTGTGTTGAGGAGGAGGAGGAGGAGTGTGTGTTGTGTTGTGAGGGAGAGGAGGAGAGTGGTGTTTGTCGTGAGGGGAGGAGTGGTGTGGATGTTGTGAGGGAGGAGAGTGGTGTGTTCTGTTGTGAGGCGAGGAGGAGTGGGTTGTGTCTGATGGGGAGAGTGGTGTGTTGGTGTTGGGAGGAGGGAGCGTGTTTGTGTTTTGAGGGAGGACGAGTGGTGGGTCGTGTTGTGAAGAGGAGGAGGAGGTGTGGTGTGTTGTCTGTGTCAGGTTGTGAGGAGGAGGAGAGTGGAGGTTGTGAGCGGGAGAAGGAGTGTTGTGTGAGGAGGGGGGGAGAGTGGTGTGTGTGTGAGGGGAGGGAGAGTGGTGTGGGGTGTGAGGAGGAGGAGGAGGAGGGGAGAGGGGTGGTTGTAGTGAGGGGGAGAAGGAGTTGTGTGTTGTGTTGTGAGGGGAGGAGGAGAGGGTGTGAGAGGAGAGAAAGGAGAGTGGTGTGTTGTGTTGGGTTATGTTGGGTTGTGTTGTGATGAGGGAGGAGAGTGGTGTGTTAGGTGTGAGGGGGGGGAGGAGGAGGTCTTGGGGAGAGAAGAGGGGGGAGGGAGGAGAGTGGTGTGATGTGATGTGTCAAGGGTAGGAGGAGAGGTGTGTGGGTTGTGAGGGGAGAAGGGAGAGGTTAGTGTTGTGAGGGGAGGAGAAAATGGTGTGTTATGTTGTGAGGGGGAGGAGAGAGTGGTGTGTGTGGTGAGGGGAGGAAGAGGAGAGTGGTGTGTTGTGGTGTGTTGTGAGGAAGGAGGAGGAGATTGGTGGTTGTGTTGTGGAAGGGAGAAGAGGAGAGTAGTGTGTTAGCCAGGTTGTGAGGGGGGGAGGAGGAGAGTGGTGTGTTGTGTTAGGGGAGAAGAGGATATTGTTGTGTTGTGTTGTGAGGGGGGGAGAAGAGATATTGTTGTGGTGTTAGGTGAGGAGGGAAGAGGATAGTGGGGTTGTGTGGGGGGAGGAGGAGCATTGTGTTTTGTTGTGAGGGGGAGAAGAGGAGAGTGTTGTGTTGTGCAGGAGTCTGAGGGAGTGTAGGTTAGGTTGGGTGAGGGGGAAGGAGGAGGATGGTGTGCTGGGTTGTGAGGGGGAAGGAGAGAGTGGTGTGTTGTGTTGTGTTGTGAGGGGGAGAAGAGGATATGGTTGTGTTGTGGAGGAGGAGAAGAGGGATATGTGTTGTGGGGGGAGGAGAGTATTGTGGTTTTGTTGTGAGGGGAAGGAGGAGGTGGTGTTGTGAGGGGGAAGGAGGAGAGTGGTGTGTTGTGTTGTGAGGAGGAAGAGGAGAGGTTGTGAGGGGGAAGGAAGAGAGTGGTGTGTTTGGAGGAGGGGAAGGAGGAGAGTGGTGTGTTTTGTGAGATGGAAGGAGGAGAGTGGTATGTGAGGTTAGGAAGGGAAGAGGAGAGGGTGTGGGGTTGTGAGGGGGAGGAGGAAAGTGGTGTGTTGTATTTGAGGGGAGAAGATGATAGAGTTGTGTGCTGTGAGGGAGGGGAGAGAGTGTTGTGTTGTGTTGTGAGGGGGAGGAGAAAAGGTTGTAGGGGGAGGAGTAAAGTAAGTTATGAGGGGGCAGGAGTGGTTGTGGAGGGTAGAAGAGGAGAGTGGTGTGCTGTGTTGTGAGGGGGGAAGGAGGAGAGGATGTTGTCTTGTGAGGGGAAGGAGAGTGGTGGGTTGTGAGGGGGAAGAGAGAGTGGTTTGGTTGTGTTGTGAGGGGAGGAGCGGAGTAGTTGTGGAGAGGAAGAGGAGAGTCGTGGCTTGTTGTGAGAGGGAGGAGAGGATGTTGTGATTTGGTGGGGGAGAGGAGATTGGTGTGTTGTGTTGTGAGGGAGGAGGAGGAGAGGTGTTGTGTGGGGGAGGGGTGTAAGGTGAGGGGAGTGGTGTGTTGTGTTGTGAGGGGAGGGAGTGGTGTGTTGTGTTGTGAGAAGGGAAGGAGGAGATGGTGTGGGGATGTGGTGTGGGGGGAGGAGGGTGGTGTGTTGTGTTGTGAGGGGGAGTGGTGTGTTGTGAGGGGGGAGGAGAGGGTGTGTTGTGTTGTGAGAAGGAAGGAGGAGAGGGTGTAAGGTGATGGGTGGGGGAGGAGGGTTGAGGGGAGAGGGGGGAGTAAGATGTGAGGGAGGAGGGTGTGGTTGTGTTGTGTTTTGAGGACGGAAGAGGAGAATTGTGTGTTTGTTTTGTGGGGGGATTGTACAGGTTGTGAAGGAGGAGAGGAGTAAAGGTGAGGAGGGAGAGTGGTGTGTTGTGTTGTGGAGGGGAGGAGGAGAGTGGTGTGTTGTGTTGTGGAGAGGAAGAGGAGAGTGGAAGCAGGAGGGAGGAGGTGTGATGTGTGTTGGGGAGGAGGAGAGAGTAAGAGATGGTGTGTTGTGTGGGGAGGGAGGGAGAGGGGTTGTGTTGAGGAGGAGGAGGAGAGCAAGGAGAAGTGTGTTGTGTTGTGAGGGGAGGAGAGTGTGAGTTGTGTTGGGAGGGAGAGACGAGGTTAGGCTGTGAGGGTGAGAAGGAGTTGTGAGGTGGGGGAGAAGGAGGAAAGGCTGAGGGGGAGAGGTGTAAGGTTGTTAAGGGAGGAGGGAGAAGGTAAGGGGAAGAGGGTTGCATGGGAGGGGGAGGAGGAGAGTGTGTTGGGGGAGGAGAGTGGTGTGTTGTGGAGGAGGAGAAAAGGAGAGTGGTGTTGCCAGTTGTGTTGAGAGGGGGGAGGAGAGGAAGTCTGGGAGAAGAGGGGAGGAGGAGGGTGTGATGTGATGTGTGAGAAGGGTAGGAGAAAGGAGGGTTGTATGGTGAGGGGAAGAGGTGGAGATGGGGTTAGGAGGAGGAGAAAATGGTGTTTTGTAGGGTTGTAGAGTGTAAGAAAAGGGAGAGGGGAGTGTGTGATAAGTTATGAGGGGGGGTGAGGAGGAAAGTGAAGGTGTGAGGGGGAGGAGAGTAAGGGGTTGTGGAGGGGAGAAAGAGGAAGAGTTGTGTTGTGTGAGGGGGGGAGATGAAAAGTTGTGAAGGTAGGGAGAAGAGGATAGTTGTATTGTGGTGTGGGGAGGAGGAGAGAGTTTTGTTGTGAGGGGAAGGGGAGATGTTGTTATCTGGGGAGGGGGAAGGAGAGAGTGGTGTGTTGTGTTGTGAGGGGAATAGGTGTTGTGTTGTGAGGGGTAGAGGAGAGAGTGTGTTGTGTAGTGAGGAGGAAGAGAAAGTAGTTGTCTGTGTTGGGAGGGGAGGAGGAGGAAAGGTTGTGTTGGGAAGAGGAGAGGGTGTAAGCAGAGGGGGGTGAGGAGAGGTGTTGGTGGGGGAGAGGTGTGTTATGAGGGGGGAGGAGGAGGGTGTTGTTAGGTTAGAGGAGGAGGAGTGGAGTGTTGTGTTGTGAGGAGGAGGAGAGTGGTGTGTTGTGGGGGAAGGAGGAGAGTGGTGTGGTGTGTTGTGTTGTGAGGAGAGGATGAGAGTGGTGTGTTGCAAGTAGAGGGGGTGGAGGATAGTGTGTGTTGTGTTGTGAGGGGAAGGAGGAGAGTGGTGTGTTGTGTTGTGAAGGGGGAAGAGGAGAGTGGTGTGTTGTGTTTTGAGGGAGGGAAGAGGGAGATTGGTGTGTTTGTTTTGTGAGGGGGAGGAGAGTGGTGTGTTGTGTTGTGAGAAGGAGGAGGGGTGGTGTGTTGTGTTGTATGGAGGAAGGAGGAGAGTGGTGTGTTGTGTTGTGAGGGGAAAGGAGGGAGTGGTGTGTTGTGTTGTGAGGGAAGGAGGAGAGTGGTGTGTTGTGTTGTGAGGGAAGAGGAGAGTGGTGTGTTGTGTGTTGTATGGGGGAAGGGAGGACAGTGGTGTGTTGTGTTGTGAGGAGGAGAGTGGTATGTTGCAAGTGGAGAGGGGGGGTGGAGGAGGATAGTGTAGTATTGTGTTGTGAGGGAAGAGGGAGAGTGGTGTGTTGTGTTGTGAGGGAGAAGGAGAGTGATGTGTGTGTTGTGAGGGGGAAGGAGGAGGTGGTTTGTTGTGTTGTGTTGTGAGAGGAGTTGCAGAAGTGTTGTCTTGTAGATGAGGAAGGAGGTGGTGTGTTGTGTTGTGAGGGTGGTGAGTTGTGTTGTGAGGGAAGGAGGAGAGTGGTGTGTTTGATGTGGGGGAGGAGAGTGGTGTGTTGTGTTGTGAGGAGGGAAGAGGAGGTGGTGTGTTGTGTTGAGGGGAAGAGGTGGTGTGTTGTTGTGTTTGAGGAGGGTGGAGCGTGGTGTGCTTGTTTTTGTGAGG